GCAGGGCAGGGCAGGGCGCAGGGCAGGGCAGGAGGCAGGCAGGCCAGGGCAGGCCAGGGCGGCCAGCACCACCACCACCACCACCACCACCACCACCACCACCACCACCCGCAACATTGTAAACTAGTGTGACAAGCGGAGCAACAACGACAACAACAACAACAACAACAACAGCAGCAGCAGCAGCAGCAGCAGCAACAACAACAACAACAACAATTACAATTTTATTGGAAGCTGAGCGAGGGGGCTTTGCTCATAGCGGCGAATTGCCACTGCCGTAGCACCAGGCTGTACAGAAATCAAAGCTTGGAGAAAAGAATGTAAGAGCCAAGAGGTGGCCGTTGCGTGTCATTGTCTCAACCACAGATAACATGGTCAAGGTGTTGCCCTGTTGAAGGTTCGGACGTTCTCGCAGACTACGGCGATGGGCCGTAAGGTGCCGAGATCAATGATCATCACTAGAAGGAGCTTCACGACAGTTACGGATTGACCTGAGTATAGGTGCTGGTGGCGAGTGGCGACGGCATTACTGGCAGAAAGACCTGTCGGCAGCTGCAGGGACGGCACTGTGCAGCGGCCTATTTGTGTCAATGGCGGTGCGAGCGACAAGTCATGGTGTGCTACTCGCCTGAGACAGGTTCAACATGTTGGAAGAAGTTCTGAACTTCAAAACAAGGAAGTATTGGTAAGAAGCCGTAGGCCGCCGGCCGGTCAAGCAGCAGGTGAGAAGAATCAAAAAGGAAAGGCAGGCTACCCGACCTCAACGCGACGGTGCCCCTCGTGGTGCTCAGGGCGGTGCCCTTGCACGTGGTGCGTATTGCATTCACCGACGGTTGCTGTGTCCCGACTGGCTCCATCCTCTCCAGCCTTGCCAGTCCTCCCAGTCGCCCCAGTGATGTGCATCATCTTCTTCTGTGTCTCCTCGCTCGGACACACCGAAGGTCTGTCCACCGACAACAGGTAGCATGGGAATGTTTTTTTCGTCGTCACTAGGACTTCTATCTGCCAAAGTTTCATCTGCATCCTGAGTGGGTCTTCCTGAGCAGGTCAAAGTCGGCGTGATGTCCAGACATCGCAGGCACATGGGTTCTAGGCTTAGCCGCATGCCGTCAGCAGAAAGTGCATAACCGTTGCAGAAGCCGGTCAATGCACGATGGAATCTATGCACTGCGAGACCTAAACACTGTAACGGGCATTACGCAGGTACACATGTGAGCGCCCCCAGATGCATCCAACGACTTGCCGTAGCTTCGTTGGACAGGTTATGCAATTCGGCTTCCTGCGTCGAATCGTACGAAACATCCCTATTGGAAATGCATCAGAGCCATGTTATAACTGATACTTGTTGAACGACATGTGCATGCAGTAAGCCTGGTAATGGGTCGCAGGCAACCCTTGGTTTTGCTGTCAGGGTGCAGCAACAACAACAACAACACCAACAACAACACCAACACCAACACCAACACCAACACCAACACCAACACCAACACCAACACCAACACCAACACCGCCACCACCGCCACCACCGCCACCACCGCCACCACCACCACCACCACCGCGACGACAACGACGACCGCCACACCACCACCCCACCACCACCCCACCACCACCATCACCAGCAGCAGCAGCAGCAGCTGCAGTGACACGATGGTGGTGCTGGGCCGCAGACCGCTATCGATAAAGCCAACACCCGCAAGGGGCCTCGGGGGCATCATTGGGTGCGCACAAGCATGTTTGGGACGCGGGCAGGGAGGCTGGGATTTTGGGTTAAAGGTTCGAAAGCTCCGGCTGCTTCGGGGCTTCGGGTTCAAGATGGGGGATGTCCAAGTTAATGGGCATCCGGAGTATAAGGCCTCGCCTTTAATGGCTCGGTCACTCGCAGGGCTGAATCACACCATGCCTACAGCAGCTGAGATCGGGATCGTCGTCCGAACACAATGTAGTTACTGTAGCTCACATAGTCAAGCCGGTATCGAGGGCGTGCCTCATAGCACTCAAGCACGGAGTTCTGCAGACTAAGGCTTCAAAAGCCGGTGAGGACATATCAGTTGACCGACGGACTGAGGGCCTGTTGGGTTCGTGACGTTCGTCTTTCTGAAAGCACAAGTGTAATTTCGAGAAGACTGGTTTCGTCAACCGCGACAGACCTGGATGGAATTGAGCGTGTTTACAGTTTGGACGGGTTCGCAGTTCATAAAACTTTCACAACCCACTTGAAGACGCGCCCAAACCCTCTGGATGCAACAGCCTCGCCCAGCAGCTGTGCTCAAACGCACGTAGCCAAAAAGCACAGGACTGCACACAGCGGCAGGTTTCAGCCAACTTCTGCAGTTGGGGTGTTGTAGTGCAGCTTCGATACGCTTCTGCACAATGCAATTCCTCAAGCACGGTTTTCTGTAGCGAACACAAACAGAATCTGAATCTCTGCTGGTGGGCTCAACGGTCGGGTGCATTAGCACCTGGAAGACGCTGGGGATCAAACTTCAGCAGCTGAGGATATGCCTGCACCCAGCCAACCTGCACCGAGAAAAGCAGCTACAACCCGAGAGATTTGGTGGCAGGAAGAAGCTGTCGGTGTGGGTAGATTCGGCTGGCCAATGTGCCGAAGATGGGATGGATTCTTGCTGAAGCATCTCATGGCCCCGTCAGTGCTGCTGCCTTGTCCCGCGAGGTCAGTGTTGCAGACGCCGATTCGCAAAAAGCGAAACTTGCCGCTCTCCGCTGGGCTGGAGGAGAACCATGTTTGAATGGCACTCCAACATGCACCTTCTTTGGCCAGCCTCTCGTTGGTGCTGCCTTTTCGCTCTTCGCGATCTGCCAACGGCATCGGTTCTGGAATTGAAGCTTCAACCTCTTGAGCCTCCGCCTCTCGAAGTCTTGCACCTAAGCCCCGAGCGACTTTACATGGTATTTCCGAAAAAAGACTGCCTTCGTGCCGGGACCAATCAGCTTCGAGAAGGTCCCAATGGAGAAGACACGCCTGGGAAAGTTAGGATTTGCATTTCTGCAATCCTACGATGTTGCAGCTCTCGGAGTTCAGGCTTCAGGCTCTGTGGTGGAAGGCTTGGGAAGATGGGGATTTCGGTGTACATTGTGGGGTTTGAAGAAGCAGTCTCACTGGAATCGCCGCGGCTAATCGTAAGCTGCCCGCCCGTCTTTGCGCACAGGAGCCCATGCTGTTTTGCATCGTGTACGACCGTATAGCTTGCTGCAGAGCTCAAAAGCAGGAGCTCGAATTGTGTGTCAAAGCCGAGTCAAAGCCCACCCTACATCGTCAAGCGCTCAACCCAAATCAGGCTGAGGTGAAGAACGGATCATCCTTGTCGTCGTGATAGAAGAGGGGCTTGACCTTGCAGCAGCTCGAAAGACAAAGAGTGCTTCCAGAAATGCCTGTCGATGATTCGAAGAGAACGGCCACTTCCTAGTTACTTAGTCTTGTGATGAAACAATGTATGCATGTGTGTGCGCACGCGTTTGTATATATATATATACATACATACATACATACATACATACATACATACAGACAGACAGACAGACATACATATGTATGATATAGATAGATAGATATTGTGTATGGTCACCCCATTCCGGACCGACCGCCCCCTTTAAACCCCCCGGTCCCACTGCCTGCCTTTTCCGTGGGTTCGGGATTCAAGCCCTGCTATCGGCTGGCTTTAACCACTCAACCGAAGACAAAATTCAACAAAAACTACAAAAATCCGCGGAGAACGGAACTGCATTGATATTCGTGCGTCTTTGTTGGTCTGTACCCGTGCGGCTTCAAACCCCCAGCCTCAGACCAAAAAACCAAGAAACAAAGATCCAGAGAGAGAATGCCGGACTGTGTTGTTGTTTTGGTGTTTCTGTTGCTTGATTTTTGGTTTTGGCGTTCCGACTGCTATGGGTAATTGGCGCTGTCTATGAAAATCCTATCCAGTACTTCCTGGGTATTTCAAAAACATTTTTCTGACATATGTGATGATTCTTTAGTGCTCAATTTGATCTAGTTGCAAAGGTCTGATACAATGGACATGACATAGATGTTACACAGGCTCAAGGTCAACTAAAAATCAGTAAAAAAAACTGGAATGTTAAAAAGCAATGAACAAAAAAACAGTCGTAAACTTCTTCGAGCAAAAATTGCAACCCTCTGTCGACAGGTTCTAACACCAGTACTTTATCTGATTAAGCCATCATTCCATTAAGAATGATTGGTGTAAGTGGGTGGCAGCGTATGGACAGGTGGGAATACTCAAACAATAAGTGCCGGTAGGTTCGAATGTGAACAAACATGGGGCTAAACAATTAAGACATTTACTTCATAATGCGGTGTCTAAGATAAACAGCGGTGATAAGAGCTGTCGAACAACTTGCTGCTACTGCCTTCAGTCAGTTTACGCAGAAACACTGAAACAAGAATCCATAACCAAACAAGGAAGTCGAACACTTGAAATAACATATTGTAAACATGTTGCTGTGATATAAACGTACGGTATTTATGTATGTATATATATATATATACATATATATACTTTTTTTAAAGAGATACATAGATAGATAGATAGATAGGTATACAGAGATATGGATCTGGATTGTGCACGTTGGGTACCATCGAAAAAATGCTATGTCTTATGTAGTCAACATCATTTGTACTGTGTGTGTTATATTGCAAGTTACAAGTGTAACTTTGTGAACTATATATCATATAGCATGTACATCTGCATGTATGTGCGTATCAACAAATACATGTGTATGCAGGTGTGCATATATACATACACACAAATACTATATTACATAAAACTCTATACTATGATTGATTTATGTGTGTATGTGCATATACATGTGTATATTTACATGTATATTTATACCTATACATATATATATATATATACATATATATTTGTCTGTATATATATGTATTTATGCATATAAATGTATAAATATTGCTGCCTGCTGCTCTATGCTATATAGAGCACATAAATCGTGCTTATGTATTTATTCGTTTCCTTATTTATTACGAACCTGTTTGTATTTATATGTATGTATATATATATATATATTCACAGAAATATAAACTACTTGTATATATAGCATGTACTGTTTCATTTGTATGCATTATGTACTGCAAACTACCTGTTTTAAATAACATGTTTACAATGTATGCCACATGGGATATCTTGTGTGCTCGAAATTACATACTATAATTTTGAATATACACAAAAACAAACTATATGTTATATTGACCTATGGTATGTACTAAATGTTGCATCGGTTGTGTGATTACATGATGTAGTATGTACTGCACCTTGTGTCTTCCACATATATAGTCACGTACTTAGGAAAATGTATGTACATATATATATATATATACATAGCAGACAGCTATATGTACATGTATGTACACGCTGTGAATAGCACGTGTAATGTGTAATAGTTTATGTAGTATGTGGTATGTATTGTATCCTGTATAGTATGTTCGTTGTAACACGAACTAGAGACTAAGAATCAGTTCTGCAAATAATTTAGTTTACGTACAACATATGATATAGATGCAGAATATGCAGTGCATAATAAATAGTATGTACCGTCATATATACCATACAGTATGTAATCTGTAATATGTAATGTCACATACAACATGGAATTAGATATGCATCTAATAGAAAACATATGATACATAGAGTAAGTAATATATATATATATATGTATATATATATATATACGCGTAAATTGTTATTGCATATAGCAGTATATCAGACATAGTAGCATGTGATTCCAATCCGAATTGCTCTATAAATATTTTGGCGGTGCTAGAAAAATAAACTATATGATGATTATGCTCACAGGTCATATAATACAAATTATCGACCATTAAAGGTTACATACAAAGAAATAGTGAAGATTACGTGTTTATAACTATAAAACTATGCAATCTTTACTGAATATTTCATCTTACATATTCAAAACATACCAGATGAAACAGTACAAACATTAGTTAATATGGAGGATTCATCACTAGATACTTTGAATAACAAATACATGTTGTATGTCAGGTCTACATATGTTCTTGTCATTCTCCTATCATACACATGGTACATGATTTATATACGCACAGGTATACATATATATTATATATATGCACATATACGAATGTGCATGTATATCTGTGTGTGTATATGTGTATGGATGTTGATCAAAGAAACAAATACAAATATACATCGCGTTACATTCAGTCCTTTTCAATCCATTCCACCCCATGCCACGACCTCGCAGTGACTGTACCATACACCGAGAAGACGGATTCGCGGAAAGCGACCGATCCAGATGCTGATGGTTGTGATGCTTCTGCTGGTAATAATAATGGTGATGCAGATGGAAATACAGACAAACATTAAGATGGACATGGTGACGGTGATGATGGTGATGGAGAGGAAGATGCTGATTTTGTTGTAGGTGATGGTGTTTATGGTGATGGTGATGATGATGGTGAAGATGATGAGGACGATGGCGATGGTGATGACGATGACGGCTGATATTATATGCTGTGAAAGATGAAAATGATGATGAGGATGATGATGATGATGACGACGACGATGATGATGATGAGATGATGATGAGATGATGGTGATGATGATGATGATGACGACGACGAGGATGATGATAATGATGATGATGACAGTGATGGTGACGCATGTGATAGTATCGACCAAGTACTTGATGTTGATGATGCTGATGACCATGCAAACAGTGATGATGGTGATGACCGATGATGTAGTAATGGTGCTGGCATGGACAAGTCACCTTCCTCACTGTGTCATCATTGTTCTCATCTTTGCTTCCACAATATACAAACTATCAGATTCTTAGGACCTGCCAGTTTCAAAGCCACAAGGGTCGTCCTGTCAAGCCTCATCTACATTGCCATCATCGCCATTCGGTCCTTCCGCACCTGTCATGGTGTTCCATCACCATGAACATGAACATAATAATCATCGTCATCATCATTATTAGCGCATGTATAAATGGATTTTCTTCTTCTTTGTCCACTTCTGGATCGTAGCCATCCTGGCGGTCCTCGCCATCATCACTATATGTAACGCTGTTAAACGTCGCGCTACCAGTCAGTTATCATTACCACCAGCCTGATGACAAGAGCTGCTTAGTGTAGAGTAGCAGCAACACAGAGGCCAATTTGGCAGCAGTGGCACAGAAACGAGAACAGAACAAAAACACATGTTATATAACACCATCACTGCGACGGCAGTAAAAGCAAGCAAAACATCCATAGCATTCCAAGACAGTCACTGGTATGGCTGTCCTAGCGCACGCTTCCATTCCAAAGGGAGCTGCGGCAGATGGCTCGAAGTTGAGGAGCTGGTACGCCTCGTCCGCGATGACGTAAAACTTGTACTTCCTGTCCGAAAGCAGGTCGATGCACTTCGACAAATTGTGGTACTGATTCCAATGAATTCTGCATGATTCGTTGGCAACCTTACTGCCTACACCAAAACCGGTTATTCTTATGCCTCCTCCACCTACTACTGCTACTACTACGACGACGACGACGACGTCTACTACTACGCTACGACTACTATGACTACTATGACTACTAGTACTACTGCTGTTACTACTACTACTACTACTACGACGACGACGACTACTACTACTACTACTACGACAGCTACTGCTACTGCTACTACTGCTACTACTAAAACTACTACTACTACTACTACTACTACTACTACTACAACTACTACTACTACTACTACTACTACTACCACTACTAAGACAACTACTACTACTACTACTACTACTACTACTGCTACTGCTACTACTGCTACTACTACTACTACTACTACTACTACTAGCACCACTACTAAGACAACTACTACTGCCACTACTGCTGCTACTACTACTACTGCTGCTACTGCTATTACCACTACTACTAGCACTACTGCTACCACCACGACCACTACTAATACCAATTCCCCGACAACTACCACTACTACTCCTAGTACGCTACTCCTCCTAGTACCACGACCACTACCACTACCACTACCACTACCACTACTACCACCACTACAACACCACAACAACTGCCACTGCCGCTACCACTACACACTACTATCTACCCCTACTACTACTACTACTACTACTACTACTACTACTACTTCTACTACTTCTACTACTACTACTACTACTACTACTACTACTTCTACTACTACTACTACCTACTAGTACTACTACTACCAGTACTAAGACAACAACTACTACTACTACTACTCCTGCTACTACTACTACTACTACTACTACTAGTAGTACTACTACTACCACTTCTAAGACAACTACTACTACTACTACTGCTGCTACTACTACTACTACTACTACTACTACTGCGACTTCACTTACTACTGCTGCTACTGCTACTGCT